GCCAAAATGCCAGGTGTCAAAATTGTGTTAAATCAGGCAAGGTCTGTGGAAAGAGACATTTGCTGCTTCTTCCAAGTTTCCAACTTTATAAAGAGTCAGTAGTACTAAGGCCCAGCCACTTCTTTCTCAAAAGCAACACAACCAAGCTGAGCAGAAGCCTTAGACCCCAAAAAAACCAAAAAAAAGCTGAGCAAAAGCCATCATCCATCTGCACTGTAGAGAAAGAGCTGCTTTCATACAGAGAAGGGAAAAAAGTTTCTTTCCTGAGAGATCAGTTGAGTTGTTTGTTTTCCTGTGGTTTGGGAAGAGGAAGTCTTCTGGTCATCTCAAGAACCAAATTACTGGTGTATAAATCAAAGCAAAGGTATGTCTGCATATACACAAGCTCATTAATTCTCTCTCTCTCTCATATATAGCTAGCTAGTTACCTACATGTAGAGGTTCATGTTCTTTGGGACTGGAAACTAGTTCAAAGAGCTTAGAAATTTTTCCTTTTGGAAAAGAGAAGATTTCTTAGTTATTCTTAGTTACTATGTTTATACAAGTCCACACAAATCTAACTTCTTTTTGTTACAAAGTTTTCTTTTCTCTTTTGGGTTTGTAGTAACCAAAGGTTTTGGTCTCATTGATTTGCTCTCATTTCTCTGATTTTTGTGTTCTGGTAATTCAGTCAACAAAAAAGAAAAAGAAAAAGAAAATACAAAAACAAATGAATGGGTGCAAGCAAACAGACAAAACTGGATTTTGAAAATAAAGTAGACTTCAGAAGCTCTCATCTAACCATTCTTAATCATTTTCTTCTGGAAAAAAAAAATTGCGGTGAGCTGCAATATTAGGGGATTTCTCCCACACACTACTAAAGTATTATGAAGATTCGAACATAAGATCATTAATTTACAAATCAAAGTCATTTTTCATCGGGATAGATCTTGTTAGCGACAGAATAAAATCTTAATATATTATTTTTTTTTTTAAAGAATCCTAATATATTTATTTTTAACAGAAAGAATTGAGGCGAGTCAAATAATGGAAATCTTTTTTTTTTCTGATAAAGAATCCTTTTTGTGCGTTATGAAAATGTTGTTTTACTAGGCAAGATCTCTCAAACCTTGTGCGAGGATCAGTGAAGATGTGACGACAAGGGACTTAACTGTATCTCTAAGTTTTTGAACCTATTTATTTATTTATTTATTTATTATTTATTATTAATACTTTCCCAAATAGGTCCAAGAACTTTTTTTCCCTCACCATATTGAATAAAATATTATAACACATTGCTTCGATATAAATGCGACCCAGCTTAGTGGTTATGATCTACTGGCTGCTGCTCAGTGATGACTCATCATGTTCATGGACCACTCTGGAATAATATAGTGCATTTTTTCTGTTGTTAGTGTTGACCAAAAATGGGATGAGGGGGATTAACTAGAGTACGTTGGGGGAGAGAATTTTTGTGAAATAATTAGTATGCCCAGTTGGTGAGAGACAATTTTCATCTTTTTTGTTTTTCGTATTGAAAAAATTGGTGTTCACAAAATTAAAATTTAGAATCTCCTCTAATAAAGTGGAGACTAATATCACGAGACTAAAACGAAAGGTGAAAACGAAGAGCGATAACCGTTTATAAAAATCATTGTTGAAATAGGAAATTTTAGGGAATCAATTCAATTTCTACCTCGATTTCAAATATTTTAGTAAACAATAATATTCAAACTCATTCTCAATCCAACTTCTCAATTCAATTTCTCCTCACCGATTTGTAAACATGCTAATAATAGGTAATTGGAAAATTACAATTTACCCAAAGGTTAGGAAGGAGTGTCCTCTTATAATTTTGTCACGTATGCACACATTTTCTTTCTAACATAAACACATGTACCTAAAATTCGAATCTCCTTGATAAAACAGGAAAGATATTTGAAGACTTTAATCTCAAGTGCGATGTAAGGACGAACCCAAAAAAAAGATAAGATTCATTTCTTATCTCTAGCTGCATTATGAATTTAGGGATTTAGAATATTCTGGTCTTACATTGTATCATGCACATATGTCGGTATCTGCTACATTTCTTCATTAGTGTCCGACCGAAAAAAGAAGTCTGCATTATTGTCACATGGATGGATGTCACCTAAAGTTTGGGGTGACCTTGTACCTTTAGTAAAGTTTGTGACCCCAAATGGGGTAGGATCACCAATTTCGCTTTGCACCAAAAAACTTGTGTAATTATTTGGACAGTCCAAAATATGAGAATTTCATGGGAGAGAGAAAATCCTATTCCCGTGCTCACATGTCTTTTTTGTTTTGTTTTGTTTTTTTTTAATATACAAACGATATTGAGAAAGAAAAAAATCGAATCTAAATCTCAGATACAAGAATAAATATTTTTAATCATTTGGGCTAATTCAAATTAATTGAAACCATATAACATGTGTTCCTGAGTTATAAATAAAGTTGAATGGTCATCATATCCTCTCTTTTTTTTAATTCATAATTAAATTAAAAAATTTAATTCGAAATTAAATAAAATGTTAACAATTATTGAAAGAAGTTGAATTTTTTGGGTGTAGATTTAAAGTTTCTAATGAACTAATATAAGTAAGCTGGTAGGATATGGTCCTGGATCTTATTAACAAAAAAACAAAGATATATAACTGAAAAATACGAGACGGGTATAATATGTATGCGTATTATTTGGTCATTTAAAAAAAAATTATAAGTGAAAATTTTGGACATTTTATACAACTTATAACTCTTTATTTTTTTTATTTTTTTCAATAATACATAAAAATAAATAAATAAATAAAATATGCAAATAATACGTATATACCTTCACTAGTAAATTCCCCACCACATTCCTCTAGATTATAGGAAATCAAACTTTTCTTTTTGGTCGAAGTCCCTGATAGCAAAATTTGTCAAAAGTAGGAAATTATTATAGGTTTTTGTATTTTGTGCCTGACCTAAAGTCCCTGACCACATGAAAGCCTGATAGGTATGGCAGTGTGTTTGTCCAGAATGGAAAAGTGTCCTGTGTGGTCCAAAGAAGTTTTTGGTTGTGCTGGTCAGCTTGCTCATCATCCAAGCATAATGAGCAGAGCACTAACTATCTTTTTGTTTTCCCATAATTCTTCCCTCTTTCTTCTTGAGAGATTCTGCAAGTCTTGAGGTTTAACTTCTATGAAATGTTTATTTACTTGGGACGAGAGAAGTCTCTTCTCTAAAATGAATTATGTTAGGTTAAGAGTTCTTACCCGACCGCATTGAAATATTTTTACCGAAAATTAATTAAGTTAAGTTACGAGTACGATTTCTTTTCGTTATTAAAGAAAAATGGTAGTTAAGTTAAACAAATGCGTTGCCCAGGTTGGCGGCTAACTAGCCGCATTAGTCTAATAATTCTTTCCATTCTTTCTTTATTTTTTAAGCCCAGGTTGGTTGCCCAAGAATCTCATAAATCTTAATTAGCAAATCGTTTAGTATAGATAACTTTTTAATCTGTAATCAAATCTAAGCCGCAGAAAGGACAAGGTTGGCGGCATTTGTGGCACCTCAAACTCAAAACCTCTCTAGAAGCTTCAATATTTTTATTAGTCAATTCAATAAAAGAGACTTGACGTTCCTATTAGCCCCATAGAATAAAAGTTTTTCTTTTGGTTGGATAATTGGCTTACAGCTTAAGATCTAGAGCAAAACAAGAAGGAAGAAATGCTGGACACAAACTAAACGACACAGTAAAGAGAGGCCACAATCAAGCCAAATGATTGGATTGCCATCCAATTAGAGGGTGGAATAGGATGGTGTGCCTCTCACTTTTATTTTGTGTCTTTTTTTATTTTTTTATTTATTTTTATTTTTATACAAACCAGATTTTACTTTAATCTAATTTAAATTATGGAAAGGGGAATTCGAACTCGAATACAGAGTGGGAAGTATATCCGTTCTAGTCAACTTGGCTCAGCCAATGTTTGCTTTTATTTTGTGTCTTTGTTAAAGTATAGTGCTTCTTTTTTCTTGGTTTTTTGGTTCTTCTTAGGTATTTCTTTACAACCTAAAATACATTTTCATACATTAAGCTGCAAAAATATTACAATATCATAATTAAGACTATCACTTAAAAGAAGAACAAAAATTAAACTCAAAATGCTATAAACAAAAGAAGAAGAAAAAACTCTCAAAAGTACAAATCAACTTAATGCAAACAAGAGACCAAACTCAGTTTGGCCAAGGAAAAAAATAGCATTCTTATTCTCAGTTATAGCATCTAAATGAGATGTTAAATTGCCACGTGAACATGAATTGAAGGTGAAAATTGCGTCAACCAAGTAATCAGATTCTACATAGTTTAGAACACAAGAAAAATAATGTCAAAATTTAATATTTAAATATTTTTTCAGCCCTAAACTGCATTATTTTTTATAGCCCTTGATGTCAAAAATTATATTGTGTGACGATAACATCAAAACTCCTACATTGGTATTACGTGTAAATGGTATCCTCGAATTTTTTGATTAACAAGCGCTAATAGTAGATACTTTTTTTTTTTTTGCTACATTTCATTAACAATTTGTAAATAACAGAAAAAACAATCATAATTATTCTTCCCTATAAGTAATGGGAATAAGAAGAAATAGAATACCATAAACAAGGAATGAGAATTGGATTAACTAGGAAGGGATAGTTGATATGCTTTCCATTGGTTAGGCTATTTGATGAAGGAATTTTAAGTGGGACTCACATATTAAATGATTTTTTATATGTAAGTAAACCCATGGAAAATCAGGAATGAAAATCATTCACCTTCTTCTTATTTCCATTACTTATAAGTAGACGTGACATAAGAGGGAATACTGATCATTTTCAATAGGCTTAATTATGCACTATAAAATAATTTTTATGCATTTACTTCTTTTATTAGAGGATTATTTTGAAGTGACAGTAAGCATAACCCTGAATTAATTATTAATTTCTTTTTAGTTGAATGCTGGAGTATAATTAATTATTTAAAACAACATGATATAGCAGCTGTAATTCACTTTTTTTATAAAATAAATTGGAAGTCAAAGCGCGGAAATTTGCGAGTCGAACTTCCAATTTCAACTACCTCTTTAATTTCCAACTGTTATGGCGGAGTATTCTTCTTCTTCTTCCTCCTCCTCCTTTACAATCATCAGTTTCGGAAATTCTGGTTAGAAGTTTAAGAAATCTTTGGTTCCTTCTCCATCAAAAGCCTTTACTTCACTGTTGGTCTTCTTCTTCTAATTTGTACCCTGTTAATTGTTATGTTCTGCAACCATGCATTCTCAATCACAGATGAAGCCCCACTCAAAGAACCAGCAGCCGGTAACTCTCTCTCTCTCTCTCTCTGTATATATATATATATATATATATATATTGTGTAGGTAGGTGGGCCATTTTATTGCTTTTTGGTTTTGGTTTTTTTTGTTAATTTTTGGGGAAAATGAGAGAAATGTGCAGAGGAGTTGGGCTGAAATGTGTTGTTTGGATTGGTCGTGCCTACAGCTCTTCTGGCCCAGAGTCTTCATGCGCAAATGGCTCAACATCTCCGCCAAAGAATCCGATTACAGCGCCGACACCGACGCCGATTCCGACTGTGATGCCGACTCCGATACCCAAGGTCCTTCAATTTCCACATTTCTTTTTTCTGTTTCTTTTAAGAAAATACTGAACTTTCATACTTTGTTCTTTGTGTTTTGAATTGTGATAAATCTGATGATGGGTTTTTTTTATGTGAATTTTGTTTATTTATTTTATTTTTAATTTTTGAGTTAATTGGGACTTTGTTTCATGTTTTAAGGAGTATGCGTTTGGGGTTTTAGCCTGACTGTAAAATGGGTTTTGCAGAGTTTCCTCAACGAGGAAGAGGATCAAGGTTTAAAGACATTAAGGAAGATGAGTCTGAGAGTGATGATGCTAGTGGTAATATTTTGGCCACTTTTGTTTCTTCATTTATTTTACTATATTTCATATCATTTTAACACTGTTTTTTGGTACCTTTTTGAGATACAAATTTACTTCTTCTTTTTTCTTTTTTCTTTTTTTCTGAGGCTAAAAGTTTGCACTGAAGATGAAAGTGAATAATGTGACTTTCATACAGCTTCAAGTCTTCAAGGCGGCACCTAGTTTTCTTATTTTCTTAACTTTTGACCAATTGCTTTTGGATTTTTGTAACATTATTTAGTCTCAGAGTCAGAGGTCATATGCATTTCCAGTCCTGAACTACTGATTTGAGTATCTTGTGTGTTATATTTTTTATTTTATCCCATGGGATATGCAAATTCCAATATATCGTTTTTTTTTTTTTTAAATTCAAATAATTTCATGATTAATTTGTTCCTCTTTCTTTTTGGTTAATCAGAAGCGCTTCCAAGGGTACGAAGACGAAAGTCAGAGACGTTCAGGGCACAGTATATAAACACAAAGGAATTGAGGTTTGATGCTCCTTGTATTTTTGCGATGTCGAAGTAAACCATAGTTAACTAAACATAATTATTACAAAGGTGGTGGTTTATCAGTCTAGCCTTTAATTGCTGATCTTTTCTTTGGGTGTTTTCAGAGTATGTGCTACAACATGGAATGTCGGAGGAGAAATTCCACCTGATGACTTGGATATTGATGGTTGGCTAGATATTAATGAGCCAGCTGACTTTTACGTGATTGGGTAAGTGTTGGATTGGTTCCCCCCCTGCCCCAACTCCTTCTCCTCCTCCTCCCCTTTCCTTGATTCACTGATTCTGCATTTAGGGATCTTATGCTGTTTCTATCATGATCTGTTTATTATGTAAATGTTGTTGTTCATTGAAAACAGATAAAATATAAATAAAAAAATGCTATTGAAAATGCCTTACATCATTTGTGTCGGATTTTATAGCTGTCACGTTTGCCCTTTAATTTTTGTACAAGATCAAAGTGAGCGTGCTTTCTTTTGTCCTCTTTAATATCTTCTACCACTTTGATCTGTATTGTCTGAATCAGTTTTTCATTTTCAAGAGTTAATCTTAGAAGTACGAAAAATGCTTAATTTTCAGCCTTCAGGAGATTGTACCCTTAAATGCTGGAAATATCTTTGGTGCTGAAGATAGGCGCCCAATCACTAAGTGGGAAAACATTATTCGTGAAGCACTGGATAGAGTTCGACCTGCGGCAAGTAAGGTTAAATCCTTTAGCGATCCTCCGTCTCCATCAAAGTATAAGCCATCTGGTGATGTCCCAGATATAGAAGAGGAGATGTTACTCCAAAGTGATAGTGATGTTGGTGAAGAAGTCCATCCATTGGATGACGAACAAAATTTTTTTGGTGACAGCAATGGTACGTCAATCACTAGTGAAATAGTGAATGTTGATTCTCGAGTTCCAGACTTTAGTGATAGTAGCAAGCCACACATGCCAATTGGACAGGATTTACAAAGGCAAAGTTCTTCTCCAAAGAGATTAGATAGGTTATATTGCTTGAGGACCGATGATTGTTCATTAGATGAAGAAACTTCTAGTATCCAACAAAATCGAAAGTTAACCAAAATGCTTAGTGGGTCTGAAAGGATTGGTTTGAGCTGGCCGGAGCCTCCATTAAACTTGCTATCTCAGCACTTGTTAGACAGACGAAATTCCTTTCGAACAATGAAGTCTTTCAAGTCCTCTAAGTCTTTCAGAACCTACAATTCTTTCAAGTCAGCTACGAATGACGTGACACCAGAAATAGCTCTGCTTGAGCTTGCAGAGATTGATCTTGAGTCTCTAATGAAACGGAAAAGAAGATCATCATATGTAAGGATTGTAAGTAAGCAGATGGTTGGGATTTTCCTCACTGTATGGGTTCGTAGGAGCTTGCGTAAACATATTCAGAACGTAAAGGTGTCTACTGTTGGTGTTGGTGTCATGGGATATATTGGTAACAAGGTTTGTTTCTATGCTAGTTTTTTATCTCCATTTTATGTGAATCCTTTTTCCTCATTATGAGTGTTGTTGGTAGATGGCCAACATATTTACTTATTGCTTTTTTTAGTATTTATTTGATAATCTCACAGTTATTTTCTTTCTTTTGTTTTTTTGCTAACATAATCTCACATTTCTGTAATGGATCCATTCTTCCACTGATGTGGAAGTCTAACTGCAGTATGACTTTCATATGGCTGATAACCATACTGTACAAGCCATGGGTGAACATTATAGCAACTTTGTACTTTCCTCACTTTGTAGCACCCCGTCTTGCATGAACCATATACAGAAAATTAATTTAAATGGATATTATTCCATATTAGGATCCCTTAGATTCTAGGGTTTGGCAAGCGATCAACACATGAACCTTGTAATTTTTCTTCTTTGTTAAGAGTGTTCAACGGATGAACTTTGTAGCTTCGTAACATAAATATGATTTGGTTAACTTTTGTTCTGTCTAGAGATTTGTGCCTCTAATTTAAAAATTATTTGATTGTTATCAACTATTGATGTGTTATTTTTCTTAATTGATTAATTTCTGGATAGAACTCTTGGTTAGGAGATTGCACTTGTTTTGCTTAGATGATTTGCTCGAATAAGTTGAAAGTAGATACTTGTGGTAATAATCCATATGTTCATGCCTTTATATTCAACACTACAATCACCTCCTAAAGTAATTTTATAATAGTAAGAATAATGTTTCTACTCATTTATTTGATATCAACTCTTAATTTTCTCAGGGATCTATATCTGTCAGCATGTCAGTGTATCAGACGTTTTTTTGTTTTGTGTGCACTCACCTGACAGCAGGTGAGAAAGAAGGAGATGAAATAAAAAGGAATGCTGATGTGCATGAAATACATCGAAGAACTCACTTTCATTCATTTTCTGATATTGGACTTCCCAGAAGTATCTATGATCATGAGTGAGTAGTTTGCTGCTACTAAATTACAATACTCTTTTCTTTGGAGCTAATGCCTCTTCTTTTTTTCTTCTTTTTTGTTTGTTATTGTCTTGATGGAAATTGGAATTATGGTTCCATGAATCATCAATTATTTATGTTCGTAAAACTAAGAAATGTTTCCACTTTGCATGATATCAACTGTCATCAGTTTTTGTGAAGAATCTTTTGGAAATCATAAAGAAAGATACGTTGCACTATATTGGCTATTCTAGAATCCAAGTTTTATTCTTAACTTAAAAAACATGGGGAGTTTAACTTAGAGAACTTACTAAAGTAATTGTCTCATCAGACTCTAGAATAGCAACTAAATATTTATAAGTAGTAATCTCCTAATAAAACTGTTGGATATTGAAACACGTTTTAAAAATTAAATGGATAAGACATTCGGTTAGCAGGAAGTGTAAGTCAAGAACAGCCTCCGTCTTTGGATAACAGTAACATTATTTGGATGCAATATTCTCCAATTAGTGGTTTTCCTATACCCGAGCATCTCATCAGACAAATGATAAAACTACATAAGTTACATATAATTCTGTTATATGGAAAAAGCAAACCTTGGCTTATCCACATTCTAGTTAACTGATGTGAAAAATTAGTTTCAACTATGCCTTAACTTTAATTTACTATTGTTTTAAGGACATATTTATCCCTCCTGAAGAAATTACAGTAAAAGTATATTTCTCTTTCCTGCAGAAGAATAATTTGGTTGGGCGATCTTAATTATCGCCTTAACTTGTCATATGAAAAAACACGAGAACTTATCTCCAAAAAGGAGTGGTCCAAGTTGTTTGAGAACGACCAGGTACATCTTTTACCTCTCTTAAGATAGTTTGTTTTATTGAAATTATTTTTGTTGATTGATATACTTGTCTGTCTAGTGGCATTCTATGCATCTGTGTTCTTCTCCTGGCTTATCATTGGATTGGAAAATCGAAAAACTGAAGCCAATAGCTTGAGTGTTGTAAATCAAATAACACCAATGTGTATGACTGATTGTTCAGCCATTCCATTAATGGAGTTGTGTGTTTTAGTGCACGACATCTATGCTTGTAAAAATTATAATATGACTCGAGTGCAAATTAGGGACAGGACGGGACATTTTGGTGAGATTGAGCCAGGAATTTTCTTAATTGGTTGAGTTTTATCTTTTCAATGAAGTTAACCAGGATATCAAACCTAACTATTAAGCACATTGACATTTATTCTGACAGCTTGCACGACAATTTAAGAAAGGTCGTCCATTTGATGGATGGTCTGAGGGTGTTCTGAAGTTTCCACCAACATATAAATATGAGGCTAATTCAGAGAAGTACTACGGTGATGATCCGAAGACTGGGAGGCGGACTCCAGCATGGTAGGCCTGCGTTGATCTCCATATCTGTATGTTTATTTTTTTGGCTTACTTTTTACATAAGAATACAGGTGTTCTGTTTCAATTAATGCTTTGCGAAACTTTGTCCACCATTTTCCTTTTCAGGCTGGTTTTGGAATTCTTTTGGGTATGATTTTGCAGTAATCTTGATATAGGTTTTACAATGTTTACTAAACTAATATAAATGCATGATAGCTTGTTATATTTTAACATGTCATAAAAGATTTATTGGTTCCTTCCATCTATCTGGTCATCATTAGTATGTACCACTAAACAGCTGTTCCAGTGTGTACTACCATGGAAGACATCTTTTGATATTGAATGCCTTTTTGAGTTCCCTGACATTGTATGCTCGTAGATTGAACAATGCGCTATGCATCTGTTTTTATTTTATTTATTTATTTTTAATTTTTAATTTTTAATTTTTTGTAGTTTTGCAATTACCACCACATAACACTTTCATTTTTTTGGCTTTCCCTGTCAATGTCGCTTTATGATTCTACTAATTATTTTAACTGTTACGATAATAGTTAAAGATCTTAAAAGTTTTGGTTTGTTTTGAGATTTTGACTTATGGGTGGTAGGTTTCATGTTGAATAACTTGTCTTTTAAAATATGGTTACCAACGGCCCTTAGCAAATATACATGTGTATTGGTGATTCCTCACATGCATTCTTCTAGTACTCGAGGGACTTAATCTGAGAAATCGTAACATAATTCATTACTCAGTAACATTACAGTGATGTTCAATATACTTTTAATGAATTTTTGAAATTTTTTCTTTCGTATTTTAATGAGTGTTTGAATTCTTTTTCCTTTTACATTGTGTCTCTTCTATTTTGATTTGTATATCAATTCCTTGAACAAAATTTTACCCTAGTGTGCCTCCATTTCTCAGGTGTGACCGCATTCTTTCTTATGGCCGAGGAATGAGGTTACTGAGCTATAGAAGGGCTGAACTTAAACTTTCTGATCATCGACCAGTGACTGCCACATATATGGCTGAGGTTGAGGTGTTCTCTTCTAGGAAGCTTCAACGGGCCCTCACATTCACTGATGCAGAGATTGAAAATGAGGAAATCGCAATGGATATGGGTATTGATGTTGGAATGAACTGCTTAAAATTGGAACAAGTGAGTACTTTGCTGCTAGGCATGTGAAGTGATTTATATATGGTTGGTTTTCTGAATTCTACTATTACTAGGTAAAATTAATAGAATAGTTAGAGCTGTTGATCCTAGTACCTAACCAACTTGCTTTTTCCTGGGTTTGAGTTTATGTATGTGTTTTCTTCTGTTATACCATTTTGTTTCATGAATACCTTAAAAGGTTTGGTCTTCTATTCCTAAATTTGCTTTCCCGGCGCAGGATATTTCTGATTGGGAGCGTTGATGGAGGCTAATGCACTCCAGGTGGGAGTTCCGACAACTTGTGAAATTTTTTTCTTCAAAATTTGCGAGTTACATTCATTCTTTGCCATGATTAATTTGTCAACAACACTCAACAGTGATGTATGTTGCATTTAGAGTGTAAATGTTATAGCGGTTCTTGGCCATTGGTCTCTGGAGCATATTAGTTGAGTTGAGTCATAGAGCATACAGGTTGTACAGTAAGTTGGATTTATACATGTGTAACAATATGTGTAGTGTAATTTGTATGATCAACCTTCATGAGAGAAGCTTTCTTAAGCTGTATAGGAATAATACATCTCAATACAAATTTTTAATGCAATCTTTTTGGATGGTGTTCCATGTTCAGATCAGATCTATGTTCTTTGTATTTGATGTCTTTCATTTCTTACATCTTTTTCATTGGCCACTAAACAATGATTTTAGAAGATGAAAAAACAAAATTCAAAGACAGATTACCAGACATTCTTGACGCAGGTCAATTTATCTCCTTGGTAATGGAGAGAACCTACTGAGATGAATTCTTGGGAATCATAATTATGGAACATTGACAATGACAGACTGAATCATCAACCTTGGTGTACTAGGGTTTGGCAACCGATCCAACCCGCTCCGAGGGGGGGCTTACTGACCACCGAACCTACATTGCCAGTGTTGAGTTTTCGGCGGCCAGGTGTAGCATCAGATAATCTCTTTTGAGCCCCAATCTTTTTCATAGGACCCTAGCAAGATTATATATTTCATGATCTTAGGTTAACATAATAAAAGATTAATATTAATATTGAGTATCCTTTTCAAAATTACGATGACTCGAAGTGGTCAATTTGAAGTCCGTAAAGTAAACATGGAAACAGAGATATATTTTGCAGCTTGTGGCGCACTATCGTCTACATAGTATTCGGGAAATACTTCATTGATAATTTCATCCGATCGTCTAGACGTGTAGTATAGCTTGTGGGCACTGCAGTTTATATGTAGTGTTGTAGAAATGCTTTGACAAGAAATGTATCATTGGACCAAAATTTAGTTGGTATATTTCCCTTTGGTTATGGCATAAAAAGATCATAACGCTATCGTATTTGGCAAACTTAAGTACGGATACGGATCAGTTCAGTTCAGAAGAGAGTTCAACTCATTTTTTATGGGTCAAAATTTATATGATTAACCAATATTTTAAACACGGATTAATTATGAGTCGGTGTACTAAACTTTCAATTCGATTTGATTAGGTGTGGAACTGTTAGAGCATGTCTAATGGGACTTATCTGGCATGGGCTAGGTCCAGATCTGTCCTCAAATGCAAAAAAAAAAATCAAAAACAAAAACAAAAAAACTTTCTAATGCATGTGTTTGGTTCAATCCAGTTTGGCCTAAGAGCGATTCCATCGATGCGCCTAAGGGGACGACTGGGGGGGGGGGGGGGGGGTTGGGGCAAAATCTTGTTTCCAGCGGCAAAGGCTAGCCCTGGCTAGAGATGGGGCCCATGAACCCAAGCTAGCCCTCAGGCAAGATCTGTCTTAGTTTCAGTATTTTAAAAAATCTTTAAAAAAAACTCTATATAAATTTCTCTCCTCATATCTCATGTGAATAGTTGTTGCCATAACAATTGGTGGAAACACCACAACCTTTTGTAATGACAGTAACTATTCACATGAATAATGATTGCCATAGCCCCCCTTGCCATAGCAAAAGGCAAATGATCAACTTTTGAAAAAAAGGTACACAACGAAAGCTGCTTTTCCAAATGCAATGGCCTATGAGGATCTATCACGTGGCACCTTCAATGACAATTGCCTAACGGCTAGTTGATGGGCTTTTTAGTTTTTTGCATTTTTTATTTTATGTACTACTTATATATATATATATATATATATCTCTCTCTCTCTCTCTCTCTCTCTCCAAACCTTTTTAGTTGTTTATCTTTTTTTACATTTCTACATTCAAACTTCAATAAATAGGCTTTCATCTTCATCTTCTTCTCACATAAACTAACACTGGGATATGTTTTCTTATCATTTCACAATGAAGAGATTTTTCAAGAAGATGATGAGAGTAGACGTATGAAAAATGCTCTTATCCTTGGCACCATGGCAGAATTTCAAAGCTCCTCCTCCAATCCGCTCACCGAACCAAATTCTCAAAATGGTCGAGAGTACATCAACCGATATAGGGAAGACCATGACAAGATGCTCAAGAGGGATATTTTGTGCCAATACGCGTATACTCATCCACTGGAGCTTTTAGTGGTCACACACAAAAAAAAAAAAAAAAAAAAAAAACCCACTATAATTCTAGAGGTCGTTGCCTCATTCAACACTTGGATTTGACATGCCTATTTTGGAATTTCTAGGTCCCAAAATGATATCAACGTGCTCGGACAATCACCGGTGTTCAATAAACTCACGGCAGGTTGAGCACCTCAAGTGGTGTACAATGTCAACGGACACAACTATAACATGGGCTACTATTTGGTGGACGATATATCCAAAGTGGGGTACTTTTGTGAAAACGTTCCCAAATCCCAATAATGAGAGGAAAATAATGTTCTCCAAGTACCAAATAGGCATACTGTAAAGACGTCGAACGATGTTTTGGTATACTGCAAGCTTGATTTGACATCATTTGAGGGCTGCTTGAATGTGGAATAGGGCTACCTTTCGAATCATCATGATAGCTTGCGTAATCATGCACAAAATGATTGTGGAGGATGAGCGTGCCAAAGAGGAAGAAGATTTAGATGTAAAGAAGTTGACCCAATGAACCCAAGGAAAGCAAGAATATATGAGCGACCAAATTATGAAGAATTTGAGACAGTGGGTAGAAATGGACAAAAGCTTGAGGGTTATATGGATCGTTATGTGCAAATTAGGTTTTATTATGTTCATGATAGTCTTTGAAATGATCTAGTTGAGCATGAGTACTAGAGGCACAGATATATGTTGTCTTAGTAACTACAAAATTAAATGAAAAAGAAAAAAAATTGTTTGTTTTTTTTTCATTTTGCTCAAAATTGTTTCCAAAAATAAATTTTTGCGTTGCTTTTCTTATGCTTTGATTTTTATCACAAATAAAATAATAATAAACTAAAATAACAAATTTTGAGTTTTAGTCCCTAGTCCCTTACCCCACTAGAACCACACACAAAAATTTGAGAGGCTAGATTTTCTAAATAGTACTATTTTGAGGGGCTAATACAACACCTAGCCCCTTGCCCCTTGCCCCTTGCTCCTTGCCCACGCATTAGACATGCTCTTACTAGTTGGGATCAAATGTGCACCCTAAGCTGACCTGTTTCTTGGTCCAACTAATAATATTACCTTTTTTTATTTTTATTTTATTTTTATTTTTTTTATAAATGATATTTTACTTTAATCTAATCTAAACTATGGGAATGAGGGAATTTCGAACTCGGGTGCATAGTGGGAAACACATCTGTCAACCCAATGACGGATCGTCCCTATGGCTAACCTGGGCTATAGCCCAGGCGATTTATTTTTCTAGTCTAAAATAACAAACCCAGCACACCTGAATCGAATTTTTTTTTGGGGTCCTATCTCTCTCTCCTCTCTCCTCTCTCCTCTCTCCTCTGTCTTTCTCTCCCCTCTCTCTCTCTCTCTCTCTCTCTCTCTCTCTCTCTCTCTCTCTCTCTCTCTCTCTCTTTATTCTTTCTTTTCCTTCTTTCTCTTTTTCATTTTTCTTTCTTTTCTTTCGATTTTGAAAGTTCCTTACTTTAAATTCTTTAATTTAAAATGTCATTTTAAAATTATTTTATCCCTTACAAATCCCAAGGATAATGATGGAGACAAATCCCCGCAAATCCAACAATCTCTTAGAAATTACAGGTGACAGCTGTCATGGAAAGTCGTGACGACTTTACTAAACACGTTCGTTTAGAAAGATAATGTCATACTGTCACACCCCAATTTATTTTATTTTATTATTATTATTTTTTTGGAGTGTGAGGTAAAAGAAAAACTAAAACTACAAATTTAAATATCAAGAAATATGAAGATTGAACATAAACTTTTATTTAAGTCAAAGTAATTTACATTGTAATTTTACAAGAAAAATAACAAGAAAATAACAAACTTTCAACAAAACATTCAAAACTATCCACAACCAGTTCTTCTTGTTTCCTCAGCAAAAACTAAACTTCAGATTCAAAGCCTGCAATAGATTCAATAAGGGGTGAGCATTACATGCCCAGTAGGGGTCCTATGTGAAACGACCTGATCCAATTCCGCTTTGGAATCCGGGTCGAAACTTGTTTAAAACTGACATCTGGTGACTGTGGGTCATAAATGACCAAAATAACCTGAAAACGCTAACACAAACTTTGGGGCCCTAACTCATGGCTGCGCCTAGTAACTGTAGGCTGCCTACGTACCCTTACTGAGGGATCAAGTCACACGTAGTTCTCTCCTCTGTTCTTGACCTGCAACTGGTTCGTTATTTTGTAACTGGTTTACTTAACCGTAAAACCTACTCTATGACTGACATTTCTGGAGCATCCGGGACTTCGTTTTACGATCCGTCAAATACTATACAATCCTGGAAATACCTAGATTAACATACATGGAATTAACTACGATCCAATGGTTCAAACGTGTTGAACCCGGAAATCGCATACTAGGCGAGATCCGTTCGGGGTTCAAACGATATCCGAATTAAGTTCAGCGAAATCCTACACGCTCGTGAGGACTAGGAGATCATTCTAGGACTGACTATGGTCCCCACACTGTTGCCCACGAGCCGCCACACGCGCTGGCAGCGCGTGGTGCCTAAAGCGATAACGCCTCGCCGGAAAAACTCAACAACTCGGCTCAAGACTCATATCCTAGGTAAAACACCTTATTTGGAACAACTTTTGTTCTTGGACCTACCCCAAAAAGTGGCCGGAAGTGGTGGCAGGCGGCGGGAAGAGGACCGGGCTAGGTCGGCGGAGAGACGCCGGTGGTTCTGGGTCCAGTCCGATGGGTCGGGGTGGCCCGTGGCGGTGGGTGGGGGGAAAGGGCCGGTCCGGCTGGAACAGGGGGG